ATTCTACATCATTGCTGAAGAGAAAAAGACCCATTTTTAGGTTCCACAAGAGAAATCTTGTTTATACAAATTCCAAACCCATTTCTGTTTTGTCTTTCATTTGTTGCTATGGGCAGCAACTGCAACAGTTTTTAAAAGTGACTCAGGTTTTTCAAAAATTCATAGTTGGCAGTAGGAATCCATCTCCCTTGACTCTCAAAAGACAAAGAATCCCTCTCTCTGATTTCTAATTACTAGGTCTAAGACAGGTATTCAGCAGGAATTCACACACAGGCTGAGTAGACATTACTTAGATAACATACATATGAAATGAAGTCAATGTAAAATAAAACCATGACAATATAAAAAAGCCCCATGCTATATAGAAAAGCACATCATTAACTAAGACACTAGGTTTAATTTTGATTAAAATAAAAATAAAACTTAAAATTGTGGTCAGAAAGAGGGACATTCAGTAAGAACAGCTACCTATATTCAGCAAGTTAATGGGATTTTTAAAAAAACTTCTGTGAATGCACACACTGGATGAAAAAATTATGTTGCAGAGAATTACAGTACAAATTAGGCTGAAAGGAATGTGGCTGAGGAGGTCATGCAGTCTATGCTCCTGCTCAAAGCAGCTCCAGTTAGAGCAGGGCTTCATCCAGCTGTGCTTTGTGTAGTTCCAAGAATAAAGATTTTGCAACTTACTTGGGCAACCTGTTCTGATATCAAAACAAACAAACAAACAAACAAAACAAAAAGCAAACAAAGCAAGCAAGAAAAAAATTCTCACAGGTGACTGGAATTTCCCATGTTCCAACTTGCACCCGTTGCCTCTTGTCCTATTTGCTGCAACTCCAAAAAGATCCTGGCTCCATCTTATCACATAATTGCAGTCCTTGCCATCAAAATTTAATACCATGTCTACTGTTTAAATACAGCCATTTATGTTCCCTTGAACTGAAATTCATGTGAGAAAGCAGGGCTACACAATAATCTCTTCTCCACGTTCACAGCACACAGCAGTACTTGGCAGGGGACAATTTAATTTGTAGCACAGAAGCTCTAGATGGCATGTTAAGAGAAAGACTTTTTAATTATAAGCTTTATGAAATTGGTAGAACAGTTGTCTGTTGAGGCTGCAGAGATCTTAAGAGATCTCTGTCCCTGGAGGTCTTTGAGAACAAGTCAGACAAACTTCTATCAGGTATGACAGAGATACAGAGATCTCACCTTGGGCCAGAGGAGCAGACTAGATAATCTTTGTTGTACTTTCTGCCCCTGAGTTTTCTAAGAAGGTTGAGACTGTCTGTGGTTAATTCAGGTGACAAGCACCCAGGCTGGAGCCTGTGGGCCAAATTATAAAATATTTAATGCTACTGAAATACCACAATGATACATTTGGTACATCATATTTAATGCAACTGAAATACTAAATGATACATTTGGTACATCATATTTGTACTTCCTTTTTTTCAAACTTTTGGGTTTGCCTGACAAAGCTCACATAGTGGTTCCCGTGCTGAGATGCTTAGAAATTCCTTCCTAATCAGTTATGGGAGAATGTGCTACATTTAGTACAAATAGGAAACAGGTCAGACTTGTGGAACAAGCACATCCAAGAAGAGTTTTGGGTGATTTCTTCAGAACTGTATCATCTTGACATTCTCCAGCACGTGGCTCACTGCAGTATCTGTGCTAGTTTATTTAACAGCTGCTCCACACAATCCAAGTAATACTTACATCCCAGCTGGAAATCTTTCTTTTAAGGGCATTACCAAAAGCCTGTGAAAGCAAAAGCACACTTTTGCAGGAAGCACTGTTGCAATATTCCCTTTGAAAACAAAGTCCCTGTAGCACTAAAAGTGAGGTTAATGATACACTAATATGTACTGGACACAATGTAAGGCAGATACTTAGTACACTAAACATGAAGTTCAAGAACAGTTTACATCCACACAGCCATCTGTTCAACAATCACATCCCTCAAATGGAGCCTTTACTCAGAAAGGACACTGTTTATTTACCGCTCTTATTCAAAGAAACAGAAGCAAAACAAAATCTGTAAATAAATAGTGGGAGGGGGTGCAATGAATTAACAGACTTGGCAAATATATTTCAGTAATATTTTCTTGAAAGTGATCAAGTGATGACTGTTTAAAGTCCCCTTGGCACAGAGAAATTAGAATTCGCATCTTCAAAAAGTATTAAAATATCTTTTCCTCCCTCTATGAGGTAAATATTTAATTGTAGGGAAAAAATAACAGGGGTAAAGTACAGAACTGGTGTCTAAAGTGCTCAGAAGAGTCAATGAGCTACCTGCCATAGCTCAGCACATTTCCCAGCTCCACTCACCCAGTCAGTTATAATTCAGACGTTCAACCTTTGCTCCTAAATCAGAGACTCACAGTTCTCCCACTGTTTTGCCCCTGGCCTCCAGCTGAGACCAATGAATATACAAAATCACTGCATATATACAAAGTCCATCAGAAATGTGATGGCTCATTAACTTGGTGACAGTTAACACAGGCACAACATGGTTTCACTTTTAGTCACCATCCACCTGAAAGGACTGGGCAGAAGAACTGTTCAGAAACGTGGGCACATGTGGAAACCTGCCCAAAGCCCATCCAGGCAGGCATATGGATTTAGACATTCTTCACAAAGTACACTTCCCATAATTCCCACTATTTTTCTTTTAGCCCATAGTAACCTTGATGATTCAATAAAAAAAACCTGGAATGTCTTTTCATACCAGAGATTATACCTTTCATAGAATCACAGAGTCATTTAGGTTGGAAACGATCTTTAAGATCATCTCAGCACTGCCAAGACCACAAATAAGACAGTCTCAGTTCTCTCCAACTGCATTCTTGTGATCTTTGCAGAAGACAGCTTATTTTGGCCAATGTCAGGCAATAGACCATGTGGTGTTACCAAAATGCAAGTGTGTGTTGGAGAGAGAAGGGGGAGGAAAAACCAGAAAAATATTTTCTTTAAAAAATGGGGGGTGGAGGGATAGAAAATAAATACTTTCTCCACCTTCTCTAAGTTTTTACTATCTAGATGTAATTTCAGTGCACACAAATTATAGTTCAAAAAGTACTCATTACTATGCATATGAAGCTATTCAAGTGTATCACAAGGTTTTTGATCGGCTCAAGAAAGAGGGAACTAAGTTAGACAGGAAGCTCTTAGTACAGCTCAATAGTCAGCACATTCTAGTAATATGAAAACCACACGTTCTTCCTAAAGCTTATACAAACACCAGGTATTATTTCAGAGAGAATGTAATGTACAGTGTAACATTTAAGACTTTAAAACGTGGATCAAAGACTATAAAATTAAATAAAAAAGCTATGGCAAGACGAAGAGAAGAGATCAGATACTTGGAACAAAACTTTAGAGCACTAATATTGGCACCAACTTTTAGTACAATATTACAAAAGCAGAAGCTCTTAGTACAAAACTTTACTGCAAGGAATTTCGATTCAGCAGGAAAAATTCTGAATTTGGGACTTTTTAAATTAAAAAAAAAAAAAAAAAAAAAAAAGAAGATTTAGTTTCTGGCAAGAAAGAAACACTCTTAGGTAACTTAAACCTGCTATGCCCGCTTTGCTCCTCCTACGCATCCTGCTTGTTCCTGAAGACCTAGCCCTGTTCATACTTCCTTTTAAGCAATTCCTGGTGCAGAAGTCCTGTGCATGCATGCTAAATGTTTCCCCTTCCTCAGTCCAAACCTTCCTCAAAAGGAAAATCTGTTTTAGAATTTTGCACTGATCCAGCACAGAAAAATGGGATTTTTTTTGAAACGCCAAAATTTTTCTTCTATTATAGTAGAATCTCCTCTGGTTTATCGTAATCTATCACTTCAAGGCACAAACCCAATAATCTGTGATTTATGGGAATTCAGTGGCACTTCCAGGAGCTCTGAACTGACAGAGCTGGCTTGAATCCACGGGGCTTCTGAACAAACATCCCCACATTGTTTCTCGCCTTGATGTAGACAAACCACAGCCAACATGAAATCATTCTCGAGCTAATGACCCTGTTGGGGTCTTTGTAAAGGCAACTGCAATGTCTCTTCACCTTCAGGGAAGCCCAAACAAAGACACTGAGGATGCAGGAACACAGGGACTGTAGGTCACTTCCTTCTCCCGACACCATCAGTGCTCAATAAATGCAACACAGGATAGAAATCTTAGATCCAGTGTGGTAAGAATCCTACTGCACCCCCAAATAAATCTGGCCCCTTCTGGAGAAGCAGTCACCATATTATCTGGGTTAAACTAAAACAGCTTAGAAAAGGAACAAACAAAAAAAAAAATCAAGCAAAACTGCTTAATGAATGGCTCACTCACATGGCTCTGTGCCGGCAGGACGCGACAGCAGTGAAGGCAGCTGTTCTCACCAGCACCTGTCCTGTACATCATTAGCCATGGTATTTGACTAAACCTAAACACAACTTTCTAGCTGTGTCAGGTGACACAGGAGGAAGCCCTGATCACAGTAGAGCATGTCCTTTTTCTTCAGTACAATGCTTACAGGACAAGACAAGCATGATTAACACGGGTAACCGGCGAAGAACAGCCGACGTACATACAAATTCCAGCAGACCTTCAGGCAAGTAAGGACTTGCTGGTTAGATATTCATAAATTATATAGAAATGGTGCTTTAGAGGAATGCCTGAAAGCGTAGTTTGATAAAAAACACCAGCTTTCTCCTTTGCTGGCTAACTGCATATGGAATTAACGCCGAAGTCCCAGCTCTTTCATGTAAGTAAATACGTGAATTTTATTTTAAAAACCTGAGGCACAAGCAGTTTTTCTGTCTCCTGCACGTATAGTAGAACCCTGGCATAATGGACCCTAACCCAGAAGATGGAAATATGGAATATGGAAAGTCAGGTGCTAACTCACAGTGCAGGAATACATCCAACATTGGAACTCTAACAAGTAGTCAAAAGCAGAGGTGGCAGGTTTTACCTCAAATAAATATGAGTCAATAAAAATCATACCTTCAAAAGTGCAGGCAGAGTTGTGCTTTCCTTTTGGTTGCTCTTTAAATTTATGGCTTCACTCCCTTTGTTTTCAGAACTGAAAAACAAAAATATTTTGCAACACTGAGTACTTGCATTATTCATGTCCAACCAAGAGCCAACGCGGTATCGTTCAATTTAAACACTAAAGAGTGTTAAAGGGACAGAAGAACATATTTTCCAAACTGTAGCACATACTCTGCACATATTGTAACTCAAAAAGCCATGCCCCAAAAATCTGAAGACAGAACCAAAATGCCCATTTCACCTCATACAGAGGTTTTCAAACTCAAGCATTCAGAAATGGCACACAGCATTTTGACTCTTCCACCTGAAAAGGGAACAAAATTTATTTTCTGTTTTGTTTGTATGTTATTTTGTATTATTTTCTGCAGGAAAAACGATACTGTAGTTGATCAATCATCTACTACAGCAGGATTCATTGCCACAGGACTATCTGGCACACCTGGCAGCTGGAAGGTCCGCCCCATTCTGAGGACTGTGAGCAAGTGGAATGTACTCATGGCAGATGGAATCATCACAAATCACAGCCACCACATTTAACTGAACATGCCTAATGGGGCTTTGCCAGTAAATGCAGAAGAAATCTTAGAAAGGGGACAAGAGGCATGTTGTTATTACCAAGGAAACACCTACTGTTCCATTTTAAAAGTCAGAAACCCAAAGTCACATATGTCCTTATTGCCAATTCATCTTGGTCAACATTTTCCTCAGAGCTCATCTTTGGAATGAAGGGAACCATCTCCTACATCAATCCCAATTCTTAAAACAATCCTTAAACACAATCCAGCAGAGAACACTTGAATCAAAACCTTTAAGCTACATGCAATTTAGAAGCAAAAATGTATCAAGGAAAACACTAGATTACGTTAACGACACATATCAGTTCCTGCATTGTCATAACATGAAGAAAATAACTTTGTACCAACATATCACGTGACAGAGTATTCCAATTAATATGTAATCACTTTAAGAACATTTCTTCATCAATCTCAGGAATTTATTAATTGCTACCGACAAATGCATGAGCCCTTATTTCTGAAAGACGCCTAAATAAAAATAAACCCCAACTATTTGCATTTTGGTGAAATTCTGTCAGGATCTGGAGAACAAATTTAGAAGCATGGGTTCTCCTACTGCTACTGACTGTAAACCACAGGTAAGTGTATCTCAGTAAGACTTCCAAAAAGAAAGGTTTTTCTTCCTATTGAGGATTAGGCATCTGCATTCAATATACATTGATACACACACAACATACAAAAGCCAGTATGACTAAATATTAGTTTCCTTCTCAGCTGCTCAGAGACAGGACTCCCTGAACAAAAATGAGAACAGAACTCTCATGCAATTATGTTTTTCAAGATATTTCACATCTTTTCAGATAAATCTAAAGAAAAGCTTCTTCCTCCCTTTCATAGATCCTCTTCAAGTTGAAAACCATGTACTTTCACACCACCTTAGGTAATCTTTCATAATGCATTCATAAACACAAAGATGCTTTTTCAGGGAGACCATCAGACAGAAAGTCTTGGCTGTTCTTTGCTTCCCCTTGAAGACAGAGCAGATGAATTAATATTCTAACCTATTAATTTCTTCTGCTGTTAATGTGTTTCATGAAGGAGATGTCACAATCACTCTGGGCAATCTGGCACACTAATAATAAAAGCGTTTCTCTGTACATAACCTATATTCTCCCTCCTAGTTTTTGTTTTGTTGGCTTGAAAAAATAAAAATTAAAAAATCAGCTACCTCTCCTCCACTCACTCAAAAAACCCAACCACAAAACCAAAAAAAACAAGCCACCCTTCTCAGATCTACATAACTTTTCCTGATGCTGATACACTTGACATGAACAGGAATTCCCTGCATTTAAAAGCAGAAAAATTATGTAGATCTCCACCAGACATTCTTCCTGACTTCATGATATCACTCTTTATGAAACTGGTCTGCAGACCACAAATGAGACCCTTGTTCTTGTTAAGTATTACCAGCACAGATTACTAGTGTCCCATTCTTTCATCACCTTGTTTTGCTCATATTCTTCCCTGTACATCATGTTTTTTTCCCCAAAAACCTTTTTTTTTTTTGTTTTCCTACTTCTTGTTTATATTTTAAATACATGGCTGTATTACTTTCTTCTTGTTAGCCAGGCTTGGACAGATTGCTATGAAATTCCATAGCATACATACCAAAACTGGAAGAATGCAATTCAGCAGATAAGCATCTTAAAACCAACAAGTAGGGGGAAAAAAAAAAAAAGAAGTATCAAAACTTTATTTTCCAACATAAAATAACCCTAAACCTGGAAGCAATTCCCCACACCCTTTCATGGTTTATATTCTAGTGTTTCCACATTCCTTAACCTTTTGCTTTAGGGTGTACTTCCTCAACATGCTGACTTTGTCAGCAGAACCAGCTTTAGAAATTTCCACTCCTTCCTCCTCAACCTCAGTTATCTCTTTGCATCCTTAACTCAGCCAAGAAGGGCTCTCAGTAGGGTCACGGTTTTGGATAAAATCAAGGGAGAAGCAGAAGTTTCCATCAGGAAAAATCCAGCCTGTGATCCAGTTTACAGTGCAACACAAATGAAAGGGCAATGAATGACACTCCAGAGGCAGGAACAAGCAAGCAGGGAGCACTGCAGCTCACTTCACCTCTGAGGAGACCTTTTGTGAACCTCTTCTACCCTTAGCCAGGGCCCAGCTTCAAAAGGATCTCTGACAGAAACCAAATGACTCATGCTGGATGAATGAAGTTTACAGCACAAATCTTGCTTTGCTGAACACAGGCCTCTTGGATTGTTTAGGATAAAGTTGTTTTTGTTTGGTTTTTTTTTCCCCAAAGAGTCAAGATTACCTTCTACAGCCTAAACACCACAGACACAGGAGCTGGTGACACACTCAGTCCTCGAGACTGAGGAACAGCCTGGCTGGCTACTGTTCATTTGGCTCACGTGATGCAACTTATCACTTTCCACTCAAACAATTTTTATGGCTTTCCCCCTTGTCATCATTGCGCCAATCACTAATCACAAGTTTTGGAACACTGCACACTATTTTCCCCACAAATTCTCTGCAGAGAAAAATAAAACAGTACAGTTCGTAGGCCCACACACAAACCTACATTCCCTGTTCAAAAAAACCCAAACAACAAACACGAAACATGTGAGACTAATGTAATTATGCCACACATATTCACATATTTGTACACATTCCAATGCAAACCCACGTTGCTCACCGGTGACCACACACTGGTGGAATCTGCTGTCCTGAGAGATATGGATCACACAAGGAGTAACATTAGGCCCCTGAACTTAAGGAAAGCTACCTTCCAGCTCTTCAGTGAGACAGTCAATAGGATCCCCTGGGGACTGCCCTCTGGGACAAGGGAGCGGATCAGAGTTGGCACGTCTTTAAGGAAGTCTTCCCTAGAGCACAAGAGCCAGAAATCCCCAGGAGCAAGGAATCAGAGCAAGAATCAGAGCTGGAAGGCTGAGTAAGGACCTGCTGGTCAGATTGAAGGGAAAGAAGGAAATGCAGAGGCAGTGGAAACAAGGACAGGTCACCTGGGAAGAGTAAAGAGATGAAGTCCAGTTGTGGTGAGGTGAGGAAGGCAAAGGCAAAGTTGGAACTGAACCTGGCAAGGGACATAAAGAACAACAAGAAGGGTTTTCACAGGTATGTTAACCAGAAAAGGGAGGTCAAAGGTATATCCCCCGATAAACAATGCTGAAAAACAATGGATGAGGAGAACTTTTTTCTTCAATCTTCAACGGCAACGTCTCTTCCCACACCTCTCAAGTCAAGGGACAGCAGGATGGGAACTGGGGGAGCAAAATCCCTCCCACTGTAAATAAAGATCAGGTTCATGGTCACCTGAGGAACCTGAATGTACATAAGTCCATGGGACTCAATCAGATGCAACTCAGAGTCCTGAGGGAATTGGCTGATGGAGCTGCCAAGGCACACTCTTATAGTCCCAAGTGACTGGAAAAAGGGAAACACTGTACCCAGCTTTATAAAGGGTAGAAAGGAGGGCCCTGGGAACTACCGACCCACCAGCCTCACCTCTGGGCCTGGGAAGATGGAGCAGATCCTCCCAGAAACTGTGCTAAGGTACATGGAGGACAGGGAGGTGATTCAGCCAGCACAGCTTCACCAAGGGCAAGTCCTGCCTGGCCATCCCAGTGGCCTTCTGTGATGGAGTGACTGCATCAGCGGACAAGGGAAAGGCTACAGATGTCATTTACCTGGGCTTCTGCAAAGCCTTTGACATGGTCCACTACAACATCTTTCCCCTCAAATTGGGGAGAGATGGATTCAATAGGTGGGCTGTTAGATGGATGAGAAAGTGGTGGGACAGACACATCCAGAGGTCAACAGCTCAGATCCCCACGGACATCAGTGACGGGTGGTGTCCCTGAGGGGTCCACACCAGTGTTAGTTAATCTCTTCATTAATGATACAGATGAGGGGACCAAGTGCAGTCTCAGTAAATTTGCAGATGACACCAAGCTGAGTGGCGCTGTTGCCACACCTGAAGGACAGGATGATATCCAGAGGGACCTGGACAAGCTGGAGAAGTGGGCCCATGGGAACCTCATGGGGTTTAACAAGACCAAGTGCAAGGTGCTGCACCTGGGTTGGGGCAACCCCCCGGTATCAACAGAGGCTGGGGAATGAAGGCATTGAGCCCCATCCCTGGAAGTGTCCAAGGCTGGATGGGGCTCTGGGCAACCTGGTCTAGTGAAAGGTGTCCCTGCCCATGGCAGGGGGATTGGAATAGATGATCTTTAAGGTCCATTTCAACTCAAGCCTATGATACAATTCTATATTCAGAGATGAGTGAACACAGTTATTAAGATATGACATTCACAATTAAAAGTAATTGTCGGGAAATATGTAAGACATTTTGTATTTTTGCTAAAAATTATCCATTCTTTATTTTTTTTATAAACCCATGCTACCCTATCAATACTAGCTAGATGTTATATTTCCAGAGACTGTATTCTAAGGGGCTGGTTTTTGTTTGGTTGGG